TCCATGTAGCACGGTGCCCCTTCCAGGGACCGGTCTCTCCCAATAGCTTGTCCAAAGTACACGAGGTGACGTCTTGTCCACCTACCTCCTCAGAACCATTCCGGTTGGACTTCTTGCAAGAAAGACAGACCGTTGTCTGTCCGCCGTGGGGCTGTCGGTGTCCATGCTTCACCTGCACTGCAGTCAGATGCAGTGACCTCCCCCGCCCGTCTTTCTCACCCACTGTCCAGTGGCACGTGCTTAAGCTGTTGTGAAGGACCGTCAAGCTGGTTCCCGCTCACAGCGAGCCCGTGCGCGACAGAAGAAAACACTGCCCGGTCCTGCGCTGCCCTCATGACTGTTCCTATGCCCAAGCCCACGATGGCAGCCTCTGTGTCAGTCCATCGGGTTGAGGGGTCCCCCTTTGTCCTGCCCCTCCACTTCCCCTAACAGGATGCCTTTCTCCATAGACTGGCGCATGTGCCTGTGCAGTGCGTTTGAGGTGATGAGAAATACCGTGGTTTGGGGCAGGTCCACCTACGCTAGACTCTTTGAAGAGGTCTTTGCAGGGGGCTTGCTCACTGCAACCTGCCATGTGATGTACTGACCGCTGCTTCCAGAGTGTGGACTGTGGAGCTGAGCAAGGGAGATAGAGCCTCCACAGGGTCCACCTCTTCTCTGTGGGGCGTGATGTCTATTCCTGTCCCCCGGGAGAGACAAAGTCACCCCCAGTCGAGAATCACTCCAAACACCAAGCTGGCCTTGAGCGTTGACAGCAGGAACCTCATGAATTAGTTTGCAGGGTGGCACGGGCAGCGCCTGGGTTTTCAGTGGTGGGGTTACGTCTCAAACTAAATGCCTTTGTGCCACATGCCACAGAGTGTGTAAGTGTGTGTTGTTGAGATTGTGTGCAAGTGTGTTTGCGTGTAGTTGAAAGAGAAATGTGAGCTGATTCCAGGAACCCAAGCGGAAAGTGAGTTTTGAGAATAATGAGGGCAACAAATCTATGTGTGCTTTACACAATTGATGTATGTGTGTGGATTGTGATAAGAGTTGTATGAGCCCCAATAAAATGATATAAAAAAAAGAAAGAGAAATGTGTATGAGACATTGTTTATGAGACATTGTGTGTGAGCGTGTAATGTGAGGGAAGGATTGCACATGAACATATGTGAGTGACATTGTGATTGTCAGCAACTGGTTGTGTGTGCCTGCATTTGAAAGAGAAATTGTGTGCAAGTTTGTGTTCCTGTGTATGAGATTGTATGTGTATTTGAAAGAGAGGTTGTGTGTGTGCCTGCTTGTGTGACAGCAGTGGCGGGGGTGTGGGGGGCCTGTATTCCTGCAGGTGTGAGAGAGGCAGGTTGGCAGTCACCCCAAGGTCAGTGTCCCCCAACAGCAGTGCCACCTATCTCTCAGGGCCGAGCCACACACCCCAGCCGGTGCCCTGACCCCCTCCCTTCTCTCCCGCTAGGCTTGTATGCAGTGAAGATCCGGGCAGAGGCCATGCAGGCGGCCTCGGACGCCGTTCCCAGTGGGATGCTGTCCGTCCTGGGCCAGCCGGAGTCCAGGTTCAACACCGCTTGTTTGGAAGCCCGGCAGCACTGCGAGTCCTTGGGCATAGAGAGCCCCGTGTGTGAAGTAGCCAGCTACCTCTTTCCCCACTGCAGGGTGGTCTCCGGACACCTGGAGGTGGGTGTTGATGGCAGGACTACCACGACCCCAGGCTGCGGAGCTGGCCTGCCAGCCGGGGTGACCCATCAACTAGAGAGTGGGAGGAATAGCCCTACAGGGGGTGCTGGGGGGCTGTCCCAAGTCCACACACCTTCCCGGGACCCGAGCCTAGCTCCTCGCCCGGCTCACACCGGGAAGGGACTGCACTGACGGGACCAGGCCTTCCCTAGGACCCCTGTGGTACGGCTGCTGCCAGTGGGGAGGAGGGCAAGCTCCTTTTGGGGGCGGAGGGGCAAGCAGTCCCTTGGTCCCACCCACCTGTGGCTCAGGTGTCTTTCTGGGGGCCCTCCAGTCATGCTGCCTGCCTGTGGCTTAGGGCGCGTTTGGCCCCCGAGTTCTCACATTCATTTTCTTCACTCTGTCCCTCCCCCAGTGCTTCTCCAGCAGCACCGTTTCCTGGTGCTGAGCCAACCGTCCTGTGCTGAGCCAACCGTGGTTGCTGCCCTATCAGGACAGCCTGTGAACTGGCCAGCTCTGGGGTCAGGGAGCACAGGGACAGGTCAGGGCCTGAAGGACACGTTTGTCAAAGAGGACAAAGGGGCAGGACCGCGATGGCAAGGGTTCTCTGTCCTGGGACCTGCTTCATGCCCGCCTGGTCAGGGCCAGGGTCTTCCTTTTGTGTCCTGGTTTGTCCTAAGAGCCAGCCCTTGCCTTGTGGATGAAGGTCTTCCTCACGCTTTACAGGAGGAAGCTGGGGCAGCACGGGACATGTGCCAGACGGTGGTGGGACTTTGCACCCAAGTCTGATCCCTCCAGGGGTCCGTGAGCAGGGGTCCTTGTATTTCTCCCCTGCCCCCCATTACTGAGAACCACCAGTGAGGGGGGAGCTTGGGAAGAGCAGTCCCAGCCAGCTTCTCATCTCCCCTGATGGCCTGGAAAGGAGGTGGCTGTGTCCACAAGGCCCCGCAGGGCAGCACCCCCACTGTTCTCAGGGCACGGCTGGGCAGCGCACAGGATGGGGGCGGGCTGACCAAGAGGACATGGCTGGTGGGCCAAGGGCAGTGACGGGGCCACGTAGCCCAGAACACTCTGCTCTGAGGCACAGCCAGCCTATGGAGCCCTGGCAGAGGGGCCGGGGCATCCCTTCCACCGAACTCTGCTGCCTGTGCACCCTGGCCTCGAGTGGGGGGAGGGGGGAGGGTGGCCCACTGCCCATTGTGCTCCGCAGAGCGCTGGGTTCCGTGGACCAGAGGGAGCCCATGGCGGCAGGCAATGAAGAGTGAGTCGGCTGGTGCGGGTTCCTGCGCACTGCACCTGCCTGGGCCTTCACCCCGTGCCCCACGTTTTCTCAGCACCCTCACAGGCCACAGTGCAGTGAAACGTCACTGCTGCACGCTCATCCACTGCCGTCTCGGGCCCATCCCCAGATCTTGCCGGGCCTTATTTCACACACACACACACACCCCATGTAGCTCACCCCTTTGCCTTGCCACAGTGTGGCTGGGGAGGCCCTGGAAGGCTGGTGGCAGTCTCCTGGTGGGCACACAGGTGGCACCTGGGCAGGCAGGAGAGGGTGAGGGGTGTTTCTGGCTGGAAGTCAGCTTGCAGCGGGGAGAGATTTGAGGCGTACACCGGACATCTTTTAGCAGACCCTGATGGGACCACCCCATGGCAGGCCCCGGGGTTGTGTCCCCTGCAGAAAGAGCCGCTGCCTAAACAGCTGTGCAGATGTGGAACCAGTTCCGAGTGTCCGGCTCTGTCAGCTGGGTTCAGACCCATTCTGAGAAGGGCTTAAGTGGAGGCTTGGGGACCCACACCCAGGCGAGGGTGACCACGGCCGAGGGATTCTGGGAAAGCAGGCTTGTTGGGCATTGCAAGCCGAGCAGTGACAGCAACTTCATCTGCTGCCCTTCCTGTTAGCAGTCCAGTGCTCAACCCATGGCGCCACCAGGCCGAGCCAGAGCCCAGTGTGCTCAATGCTGTGCCTGGATCTTCCCAGCAGGCACAGACTCAGGTCAGATGGGCTGGCCGTGTGCCCATTCCGAAGATGAGAGGGAGGGTGGAAGAAGCAGCTCGGGGCCCCTCCTATGCTCATCCCCCCCACCCCACCCTACACCTGGGACGTGTGGGCTACAGGTCCCTAATGAGGCCTCTACGGGGTAACGGCCCTCATGGCCAAGCAGGTGTACCCTTGTCCAGCAGCCCTGGGGTCCCATGGCGACCAGCTGCCATGGTCGAGTAAAGACCACATGAAGTCCCTTGTGGAGGCTGCAGGCTCGTCGGCAGGGAGGGTCCCGGCCTGCTGTCTGGGGGTGTGTAAGTAGCAGGAGGAGGAGGCTGGACAGATGGTGAGAGGACTTCACTGGGGCCCGAGTCACAGGGGCACAAGGAGGCGGAAAGATGGTGCTGACAGCCTCGCCTGGCTCCCTGCAGGGAGGGGACACACACACACACACACCCGCCCCCAAGTGTATAGGAAAGGTGCAGTGGCCAGGGGGCTGCCTCTTGCCCCGGGCCCAGGAGATGTGTCTGTGGGTGTTGTTTTACACACACACCTAACCCTTTCCCCTCTCCCGCCAGGCACTGCACTTCCTCCAGAAGCACGCCTCTCGCTACCGCTTCCGGCGCGCCAGGCTGCTGCCCGTGAGTGGGGCCTTCCACACCCGCCTCATGGAGCCAGCTGTGGCCCCCCTGGCCGAGCTGCTGAGCACCATCAGCCTGAGGGAGCCCCTGGTGTCCGTCTACTCCAACGTCCTCGGCACCCGGTACCGGAACCCCAAGCACATCGCCAAGCTGCTGGCTGAGCAGCTGGTCTCCCCCGTGAAGTGGGAGCAGACCATGCACGCCATCTACGAGCGAAAGAAGGGCATCCAGTTCCCTAGGACCTTCGAGGTGGGCCCAGGGAGGCAGCTGGGCACCATTCTCAGGAGCTGTAACCTGCAGGCCTGGAAGTCCTACAGCCACGTGGACGTGGACGTGGACGTGGACACCGACGAGGCCCCAGATGCGTAGGGACAGGAGCACCGGCATCAAGGGGCCGAAGCCGCCACATCAAGCGTGGGGCAGGAGCGTTCTGTGACAGGCCCGTCCCTGATGGTGAGACTCCGGTGGGTCTCCGGGCCTCGGCCAGCTTGTCCTGCTCCAGCTCTTGCTCTGGAAATTGCCCACGGCAGGTGGTTCTCAGGGTCAGGGTCGCTGTCATGGGCCAGCCAGCCTCTTCTTCTGTCACCCTGCTTAGCGGCCTGCCACCACCCAGGAGCAGACTGAGAGAGCCCAGGCTCCCAGCTGGTCTCGGCAGCGTCAGAAGGGCGGCTGGGCTCACGCTAGCGCTGTGTCGGCACCTCGTCCCCCCAGGGCTGCTCTGGCCACAGAGAGCACCCCGGTCAGGAGCGTGCCAGGCAGCAGCGTGGGTGATGCTGCCCTCCCGCTCCATTAAACGAGTCTGTCTAAGTTGCCTGGTGGCATCTCGTCTCAGTGGCTGTTTTAGGAAACCCTTACCCGGCTGGCACTGTGCAGAGAAAGCCGTTTTCAGTAGGTGTATACAGGGACCCTGTGGGCACCGACGGGCAAGAGCGAGGTGTTGACGGACACGCAGAGGGCTATTGAGCTCATTGGAGACGCCGCCCCACTGGCCACAGAGGGCCCTTCTCCACAGGCTGCAGGGAGGTGGGCGGGGCGGGATGGTGTTAGGGCCACGGCAACTCCAGGGAAGAAACCCCCCAAGTTGGGGGAATCGGGGTACTGCCGAGTGGGGTACTCCCGTTGGGGCCTGGGATGGTTCCTGTGTGGGCCGCCTACTGCTCCAGGCTGCAGGAAGGAGCAGAGCGTGTGTCCCCCAAGGAGGAGTCCGGGAAGCGGTCATCTTACTGAAGCGCAGGGAGCAGGAACCACAGGTGTGGAGGTCTGCTCTCCTCCGCTGGGCCCCTTCCTGCCCCAGCTCCTGTGGACTCTGTGCGGGAAGGGCCACCTGTGGAGGATGCTCTGGGGCAGCCACCCGTATCCTCAGGGTCGCCAACACCACTGCCTGCATGATGGGGGCTGTGGGTCCCCTTTAGGTCGGAGGACCTGGTGCTTGGGACACTGTGGTTGCGTCCCTCCCCAGGCCTGAGCCTCTATTTCCCTTGGGGTCCCCCCCTACATCCTTGTCCCCATCTGCTCGATGCAGGCTGCAAGGACAGTGGTGGCCTAGGTCCCGGTGGGTTGGGATTGGAGGATCTGGTGTTTCGGGGACTGTAGAAGGAACCTTCTGGAATAAAACCTCAGACTGCTGGCCCAGGTGACAGTTGCCTTGGCTCTGAGGAAAATCGAGGCCACCAGGGCTGACCAAGGCCCAAGTTCCTCGAGCTGACTGAGACCTGGCCGGGCACCTCCTCCCCATGCAGTGGGGAGAGGCCGTCTCCTCCCATCTCCCTCGTCCTGCCCGTTATTGAGCCCTCAGACACCCCCCAGCCCTAGAGGTGGCCCTGGAGCTCTGAAGCTCGGTCCACTTCCACTTTTGTTGAGAACCCTGCTGTGGTCTAGGGCTCTCCGGGCAAGATCCCAGGACCTTTGTCCTTGCTGTCCCCGTGGCCAGAGAGGACTTTCCCTTTCCAGGATCATCTCATACCCACAGCCCTGGGTGTGTCCAGCACTGGCCTCATGGCACACGTAGCTCGCTCACGTACACGTTTCTGTGTCCCCGACTAGAACATGAGTTTCCTGAGGCGGGGGCTGGGTTTCCTCCAGGCTCCAGAACCCGCAACACAGCAGAGCCCCTCTGATAGCCAGGCAACCCCCAGGGCAGGGTGGCGCCTCCCTAGAGTAGAGAAACTGGGCACTCCTGTGCCCTCCCGGCAAAAAAGCAAGCAAGCTTGTCTGCAGCATCCACATCCATTGGAAGCAAGCCACACCCAGAAAACCTCCTTTCACTTGACTCTATAGCAGATCTCCGATCATGGGGGATTGTGACTGTTTCGCTGCCAAACCACTAAGAACCTGGGCCCGGAAGCCTGCCTGCCGTCTGACCCTGACCCGCCAATGTTGACTTCTTCAGTCCCTGCAGCTGTGTGATCAGGAGACGCCTCCAGCCTGACGCCTGAGCCAGGGACAGGGACTTTCCCTTCCTGTGTACCTGTGTGACGTAGGCCTCTCTGAGTCTGCTCCTCCAAATTCACTGCCGTCGAGTCAGGTCCTACTCACTGGACCCCACAGGACATAGAACTGCCCCTGTGGGTTTCTGAGACGAACGTTATGGGAGTAGAAAGCCCCATCTATCTCCTGTGGAGCAGCTGGAGGTTTTGAACTGCTGACCTTGGGATTAGCAGCCCAGCGCAGGCCTCGCACCATCACCACCACCGGGCTTCTGCCCCACGCTGGACAAACGACACGATGGGCGCTGAGGTCCAGCCGAAGGCTGCATGACCGGGCCAACGCGGACACTGCACCCCCCAGAGAGGACCCGAGACTGGCTACAAACAAGTTTATTCCACTCTCCCCAGCCCACCACATCTGTCCAGCAGATTCTCCGGGAGCCCGGACACAGGGTGTGGCCAGCACTACCCCTGCTGTCCACCCTGGAGGGAGGGCCACTTCAGAGGGCTGAGGCCGGAGGAGGGCAAGGCCCAGCCAGGCCTGGATGCTGGCCGCTAACCAGTAACGGCCACAGGGGCACTAGGAATTCATTTCTCTAAAACACAACCTCCCCAAAACAACTCCACAGAAGGACGTCTCGACAGCGGCCCAGCACTGCCCGGCGTGGGGGGTAGATATAAAAAAGGGATCATTCTAAAGCAACAAGTTAAAAAATCACAAAGCACAACTTGGCACCAAGGCCGGCCGCCACCACCAGGGTGGCAGTCTGGGGCGGGGGCCAGCCCCACCCTCGCTCCCCGGTGGCGTCACTTGGGCAGGAGGAGGTGGAGCACCATGCCGAGGAGCACCAGCAGCGTCAACGGGAGCACCTGTTCACACACCTGGTGGGGCACCACCTGCAAGAGGGGGTCAGTGAGGACCACAGCCCAGCGCTTCCAGGAGTCCCCAAAGGGGTTCAGTCCCGGGGGTCCCTCACTCGCTCCCTGAGGAAGTAGCCCAGAGGAACAGTGACCAGGGGAAGGGAGTTGGGACCCTGAGGCCGAGGGGCAAAGGTGGGACCAGGTGAGAAGAGCACACCCACGCCCCCAGTACAAGGGGAAACAGTAGGTGGTAGTCCTTGGGGGCAGCAGGGGGAGATTAATTGGGACGGAAGGTCCTGTTTGCCAGGCAAAGGCAGGATGGGCTCTGAGAGCCGTGGTTCTGTTTGTCCCCGCTCACTGCCTCCTGCAGCCCAGACCCCAGAAGCCCCAAACCCAGAGGCCAGTGGGGCCAAGGGGGTGATGAGGCAATAGGGAGCCCTGGAGGACTATGGGAAAGAAAGGGCAGCGGCCACAAGCGGGTCCAGAGTCTGGGGAGCAACTTACCCAGCGCCCGAGCCCTGGGCGTCTCCGGAGCAGAGTTTTTACCCTGAGCTTGCTGAGGCAATGGTGGAAACACCAGAGCACCCCTCTCACACCTGTCTGGAGGTAGCTGAAGCCCAAGCTGGAGAAACAAAACCGGGGTGGGTTACAGGAGACCAGGCCCAGCTCCTGCTCCCCACTCCCTGGGGTGCCCACCCACCAGCTCCTCTCTCCATAGGCCATTTCCTGCTCATCAACCCATTCCTCCAGTGCCCCTACTCCACCTGTCTGTCTGCCAGCCCACCACCTGGGGTTTAACCCCTCCCATCAGCTGGTGATGGTGAACTCCCCCCCCAGTTAGAAAACACCCTCTCCAGGGCTGGTTTTGACCTTGGTCACGAAGCCAGGCTGGCCTACTGCCTACCTGCCTTCCTGGGCAGCTGTTGGAGACGACACTGCTGTTATTGGTGCTGCCTCAGCAGGCCAGGTACAACAGCCAAAGGGACGCAGCCCTGCGGCCCTGCAGCACCCTTAGCACCCTTAGTCTGACTGGAGCCACTGTCAGACCGTCCAGCTGGTCCTCCGAGGGATCCCAGGGCTTGGCCCTCAGCAAGCCACCAGGTCCCCGTTCTCCAGTCTCCCCACCCTCAGGGAACCATGGAGCCCATCCTGGGGTTCTCAGGTACAAAGCCCGTCTCCATCTGACAAAGCCTGCCTTCCCAATGGCCACCAAACTGCCCCGAGGTGAGCCCTGCACTTTCTGTCCCTCTAAGTCAAGGTGTTTTTGGAAAGGTTCCATCTCGGCTCAGGGTGGGAAGGAGGAAGAGTGGGGCTTGGTATCTATTTCCCAGGCTGCAGAGAAAGGGCAGAGTGGACTCACCCCAGGAGCGGGAAGTCTGGGGGGATGCAGCCAAGGGGCCAGGGGCGGGCAGGCTGCCTGGTATGTGGGAACCTGTCTAAAGGGCCTCCTCCTGCTGTTACCTGTGCACAGTGCTGAGGGCCACGCAGGTCAGCTGGACAAAGCGGGGGGTCCTGAGCCATATGTCCATCTCGTCTGCGATGAGAGCCAGCTGCAGGGCCACGGGGCTGGGGTTGCTGTGGAGAGGCCACGCTGCCGTCAGTGGTGTCACTGACCACACGTACACCCACCTGCCCAGTCTGACAGCAGGCAGCTACCGCGGGGGGGAAAGGTGGCACAGAGCCCCCAGGGGGCCGGACTGGCAGGTGTTAGGTGGGCGTGGGACAGACCTTCCCTCATCTATCTGGACTCCCTGCCCACCACTGAGTCGCTCTGCACTGTCAACATGCAGACACACACACACACCCCAACATGCATGCATACACACACACACACACACCAACTAGGGCAGGATAGGGAGGCGTCCTTGCACCTTCTAGTGGTGGAAAGGGGCACGGCTACTGGATAGGCAACAGGCCGCCCTCCCTGGGGGCCAGCACACCCCACAAAGAGCCCTCAAACTGCGGTGCCTGAGGCTCTCTGACTGTCAGATGAAGGGGCCTGGGACCTGCTTCCTGGACCCCAAACCTCACTCTCCCTGCTCAATCCCCCTCTGAGACAGCAGGGGCTACCAGCCCCCCACTCTCCAAGGGCATCCTAGAGTGAATGGAGAGCCTGATACGTACCCTGCCCACCCACAGAGACCACCCCAGTCCTGCCTCGGGACGGGCTGCAGAGCCAGTGTTCTGGACACAGGGGCAGGCTCAGCACTGTCACCTGCTCCCCTTCACTCCACCCCACTGGTGCCCTCCTGAAGGAGGGGGTGGGGTTAGCCCTCTCCAGGGGGTTTTATCCACATTCCACACCCATGACTCCACTGGAAGTCCCCTGGGTGTGGGCCTCGGGCCTGGCTTCTATCCAGGTGACTGGGGCAGGGCCATGCCCCCATCTGGGCTGACCTGCCCCCGCCCCCCACACACACTCGGTTTGCCAAGGCCACAGGCAGAGGAGGCAGCAGATGTGGCTGGACCCCCTCCCTTTAAATCCCCAGGTGTTTCCACACCACGGGCCAAGCCCTCCTGACCTGAGAAGCCTGCGGCCTAACGCAGGTGGAGGCGGCCGCACCTGGAAGGCTGCTCTAGGTTTGGCTGGTGATTCGTTCTAATTTAAGGCGGCATATTCTGGTGCAAGGGCTACCAGGGTATGATCTGACTGCTCAGTGCCGGTGTGGACACGGCTCTCGGGGCCTCAGTTTCCCCACGTGCCCAGGGAAGGACAACAATGTGTGAGCCATGTGCGCCGAGACGCACTAGAGTCGCTGGCACAGCCTGCCAGGACCCAGGGCTGCCCCCTCGCTCTGTCAGGCCGACCGGGCACTGCGTCCAACACGGCCAGCCCAAGTCCTCTCCTGGGTTTCTTGTCCGCTCTTCCCAAGCTGGTCCCTCCACCCTGGAAGGCACAGCCCTGCCCAGCTCCCGGGCCCAGGAATGTGCCCATTTTAGTGGCCAGTGCCACTGTGACGGACTGTGAGGAACTCGGAGGGCTCCCGCTGGACACTGGCATGAGTCACAGCCCCAGGCCTCCTGCCCTGACAACCACACCCGGGGACTTCCTCTCAAAACTCCCACCTCAGGAGGGGAGCTGGCCATGGAGGCTCCGGGCCAAGAGGAGGGGCCGTGGTCTGCTGCTAAGATCCTGCTCAGGAAGGGGGTGGGGGGTCGCGGTGGGACTGGCGGGCCTACCTGACGGGAGGGGCCAGCATGCCGGTGGATTCGAAGTAGCCAGGGTGGGTCATGCCAGAGACCTCCTCGCTGGGCAGCTGTCCAGGGACCTGCCCCGACAAGTAGGCGGCAAGCAGGTGGTTCCTGGGGACAGGTCCGGGTCGAGACATCTCTGTGTGGAGGAAAACAGGGCGTGCCTGAACCCCCAAAGCAGTGTGCTCACAGGGCACTAGCCCCCTCTGGGATCAGCCCCCTAGGCACGCTGTCCAGGCCGCTGTTCCTCTGTCCTCCGTCCCTGCGTCTGCCAGGTGAAGCGCTTGGCTCTCCTCTTAGGTGAGGTCCAACCAGGGCACAGATGGACTAAGGCCTAGACCTCTGACCCCCGAGAGCCAGGAGCCAGAGGGAGGAGCCCCCTGTGGGGCAGCCGGTGGGTTTGAACCCTGACCTGGTGGTTAGTGTCCCTCCCCCACACCTCGTTCCTTGAACACACTTCTCCTTCCCTTTGAGGTGGCCCCGGATCCTGCCCCCTCGCTCGCTGCCATCAAGTCCTGACTCACAGCAACCCTACAGGATGGATAGAACGGCCCCAGTGGGTTTCCAAGACTGTCACTCCCTCTAGGAGTAGAAAGCCTCTTTCTCCACGGAGCAGCCCCATGGTGGCTTTGAACTGCTGACCTTGAGATTAGCAGCTCAACACGTAACCCATGATGCCACCAGGGCTTCTCAGATCCTGCTCCTCACTTCCCAGTCTCCCTTGCAGCTCGGGCGGCCATGTGACCCCCGTGCTGGTCAATGAGGTCTCAGGAAGTGACATTGAAGGAAAGTGTAGACACGGCTCGGCTCCTTTGCTGCCTGCGGTACACCAATGAGGCCGGGCCTGCAGCAGCCGCCCTCAGACACCGAGGGCACCGGGGAGGAGAAGAACTCACCTACTAAGGATGGCAAGCGCCGAGAGAGCGCCAACCTCTGTCCACACCATCCCTCCACTGCAGGGGTCCTCAAACTTTTTAAACAGGGGGCCAGTTCACTGGCCCTCAGACCCATTGGAGGGCCGGACTATAGTTTTAAAAAATATATAAATAAATTCCTATGCACACTGCACATACCTTATTTTGAAGTTAAAAAACAATCGGGGCAAAAACACCCCACGGGCCAGATAAATGTCCTCGGCAGGCCGCATGTGGCCCACAGGCTGTAGTTTGAGGACGCCTGCTAAGCCAAGGGCCTCGGCCCTACAGCTGTGAGTCTCAACCCTTCCCTCAGCGTGGCCGAGGGAACTGCTCGACCCAGAACTCACTATCACCTACCTGACACTGCCCCCATCCCCACCCAGGTACAGGCTGTAAGAGTGGGGCTCCGAGCCAGAGGGCCTGAGTTCAAATTCCAGCTCTGACACTCAGTGAGCCCCCCTGGGTAACTCCTTATGAACTCAGGACACTTGGGGTCACTCGTCTGTAAAACGGGTTCATGGTCTCGGGAGGCGCTTGGCTGGGTTGTCAGGAGGGCTGAATGGAGACCCCTCTCGGGTGCCCTGCACGGAGCCTGCCAGCGTGCAGGGGCAGGCAGGAGCCACTGTGACCTCTGTGCTTCCGCGTGTTGTTCTCTTATCATCACAGGACGAAGGTTGTAGGCTTTCAGGTGCAGAAGCCCAAGTTCCCAGAGCATTTGGGTCAGTCTGCAGAGGGCTCAGAACTGTGTACGTGGGCCCAGGCGTCTGCATGCCGGGATGGGGTGGGGAGTGGCACCGCTTATTTACAGGGAGCACGGGGGCAGAGGGAAAGGAAACCCGGTGGGGGAGTGAGTGCATGTCAGGCTGCTAACCTCAAGGTCAGCAGTTCAAAACCACCAGCCGCTGTGCAGCGAGAGGGGGCTTTCTCCTCCTGTAAAGCCTTGCCGTCTCAGAAACGGGGGCAGCGACCATTCTACCCTGTGCCGTAGAGTCGCCATGGGCCAGAATCAACTCAGTGGCAGAGTTGGCTTTTGATTTGGGGCTGACCGGAATCTGTGATGGGCTGAGCAAGGGTTCCAAGGCTGCGCGCCAGCCCCCTGGCAGGGTGGAGATGGGAAGTCCCAACTGGGGCCCGTGCGGCACACTCACAGGCACCCTTGCCAGGAGCACCCCGAGGCTCAGCATGTGCTCCTGGAGGGTTCGAGAAGGGAGAAGGCTGGGAACAAGGGTGGCGATGCCCGCAGCGGTCAGTTCCTGCTGCTCCTGCAGCCCAGGGGCCAGCAGGCTGCTTGTAACAACACCTCCGAATCTCAGCGAGACCGAGATGGGTGTGCAGGTGACATGGCTGGTCAGACCGTGAGGCAAGACCACACAAGGGCAGCCTTGTTCTCCACCCGGGACCCGGGAGGAAACAGAAAGTGCCCAGAATCTCTGTCTCAGGTGGTTTGTCGGGAGGGAGACACCTGGTCCGAGTGAAAAGGCAGCTCACAGGAGCTGGGGCGGGGCAGGCGGGGGTGGGGTGCACGGCGCCTGTGGCCTGGCATGTGCCACCTCGCACCTGTCGGGACTCCTCCTCCCACTGCTGAAAGGCTGGGAGGCTCCGGCGCCAAGGCCCTGGGGGTGGAGCTGCCACCTGCTCCTGGGGGCAGTGCAGGGGACCCCCTCCCCACTTCCACAGGCTTCGCACGGCTATCAGACCAGGCTCCCGAGTGCCACGGGAGTCCCGTGGCTCTGCGCCTCCCAGGAGTAGACTGCCAGGCCCTTCTTCCACATCAGCCTTAGGACATGCAACTTTGAGCTCAAACCTCTTGTCTACCTGAGAGCTGAGAACCGCTGGCACCACCCTGGGGCCTGAGGCCAAGCGTGTTGCCGCCCAGTGGGAGCTGGGTTCCGAGGCCCTGGGCCGAAAGCTTTATGGGACTGATCGCCTGCAATTTCTCCCTGCTGGGCTCAAACAGGCTGGGCGCCCGAGACCAGGAGTACCTGGTACATCACACTTACCACACTCGCCCCAGGGAACGCTCCAAATTCAAGCCCAAACGGCCCGACCCCCAGTCCATGACGACTCACAGAGACCCTGTAAGACAGGGTGGAACTGCCTGTGTGGGTTTCCAAGACTGTTAACTCTACGGGAGTAGAAAGCCTCATCTTTCTCCCTCGGAGCAGATGGTGGTTTACAACTGCTGACCTCAAGGTTAGCACCCCAACACAGGGCGGGGTGGCCGTGAAAACGGAGACAGCCGAAAACAGGAATACTTCCAGATACGCTAGATGCCGAACCAGGACGAGCTGCACCTGTTCTTAGTCTCTTTAGAAATGGCTTCCTGGTGGTCCGAAGGCACACAGCCACACCTCTGCCCGTTTGTTCCCAAAGTAACCCTCCACCGTTAGCAGCATCTGACCAGTTTTTACAGCCTGGACCCTGAAGTCCAGGGTCAGAACAGCTGCTGACTGGTGTCTGGGTGGCCACTATGTCAAGTGCAGGCTGTCTGACCTCTTCACTCTCCTCCCTGTGCACCCCACCCCCACAGCTGCCCGGGGAGAAGAGCAGGCCCTCAATGTGCCTTAGAATGTCCCCGGGGGGGTGCGAGCCTCAGAAGACACCCCAATCACCCACTCCCACCCAGATGACTTCTTCCTGGGATCAGGTCCCCGCCCCTCTCATCTGGTGGAGGGAAGCAAGCAGCTCCTCCGAGGACATAAAGTGTGTGTGTGTGTGTGTGTGTGTCCAGTCCTATGAGAAGCACTGCTGGGTGGAAGCTTCATTACAAAGAGCGATGGAACAAGAATTCAAACCTGCACGACTTCAAATGTTACGAGAAGCCGATCTCCCAGAGCCAGCAGGCAATTTCACTCCCAGGAGCCCTCGGAGCGTCAGGAGGGAGGAAAGGGCGCCAAGTGTAGCGGAAGGAGGTGGCCTCTGGACTAAAGAAGCTCCAGCTTCTGTCCAGCACAGTGTGGAGACGCGGGCTATTCTCCCCAGCCACAGCCTCCTCTGAGTCACTCCACCCTCCTGAACTGAAACTCACAGCCCCGCCCCTTCCTAGCTCACCTTGCAAGTTCCTGTTGTCAATTTCATTCCAGGAACGTGTGAGATAGTTAAAGTTTATTGTGCCAACCTGGCCGATAAACACATGTGGGGTTAATTGAAGGGAGGAGGGATAAATGGCTCGGTGAGTCTTGCCTTTCTAGTTCTCAGGTCTCTTGATTTCTGATGGTCAGACCAGG